TATAGTCAACTAGTCGTTGAGCTCAAAAATAAACATGAATATATAGTTGTTTGGACTTTGGATCCCCAAAATTGCCAATTTGCCCTCTAGTGTTACTAAAGATTTGTGTTGGTTTATTTGGGTTTAACATACTGTTAAAAAAAAAAAAAAAAAAAAAAGAAAAAAAAAAAAAAAAAAAAACGCTCATTATTCTCACCTTTTCGGCAGTCTCAAACGTCTTTCAAAACTAAAAAACTGCAATTCCACAAACTTTTGCTTCCGTTTTCGTCTGAGTTGCTACTCGCTAGAGTAAGTCCAAAATTAGTGGCCATACAATAAAAATTAGAATACGTTGTTATAAAATCCAATTTTCTCATTGGATTCCTTTTTGTTAATACGCAGCTAGTTTTGTTTTAATATCAAATCTCCCATTCCAAAAAAATAATATGGGTCATTTAGTGTACAAATTATATTTCATGAAGATGATTACTTGGCGACTAAAAATAGTTACACTTTTAACTTTTAGATTTATTTTGATGTATTTTTGTTTTAAAATCATATAATATAATTATTTATTTGGTTGGAGTATAAATCAGATTTTAAAAAATTGGATAATCCGGGTTTATCCAGATTAGGATATTTAAAAATCCGATTATGTTCTATTTGAATCCTATTACACTGAAAATCTATTTCACAACAAAAAATCCGATCTTTATTTCCGATATTTGAAAATGAAAATATCCAATCCAAATTAAAAAGAAATGAATTCGGATAAATCTGGCTTTTGTGGCCTCTAATATTAATTGTTAAATATTTTTCTAAATATAGTATGTAGTGTTAAAAAACAAAATGAGGGGAGTAGTTATAAACAATTTAACTCAACTAATATGATTAATTACATAAAATAGCAAGGTTCTAAATAATGAATGACGTGACTTGGCGGCAAAATCAAATCTCAAGTTTGTTCGAGTATTGACGAGCCACGGCGTTTGTAAGGCGTAACTTAATGCGATAATTTTCTATCTAATTAATATTTTTATATGCATTTTATACAATTATTCATTTTATACACATATATGAGATAATGCGACGTTTTGATAAAGCTTGACGTCAGGTGCAAACCTTGGAGTCATGAAAAACTTTTTAGAACATTGTATTTTAGAGAAAAAGATAAATCTAGTAAACCTTCTTAATTATTTTTAAAAGATTAGCCAAAGTTTAAGAAAAATCTTATGGTCATCAAAATCACAAGTGAACCTTTGTGAATTGCAATTTTCATCAAAAATCTATAATTATTTCCCAAACTTTGTACCTATAAAAACTTAAAGAAGCTAGAAGACAATACTCATACAAACACTCTCACATTCTTACTCACCACACTTTCCGATTCTAACTTAAATTCCAGAGAGTATTTTTGGAATGAACCTTGAAGATGCGCTCATTCCAACACATAAGGCCGAACATAGTGGGTGTGAGAATGATGAATGGAAGTAGAATCGCACCCAAAAACACCACACCATAGGTGCGGTTTAGGTGATGCGGTTTATGGATGAGTGATATCCTCCATGCATTGTCTCTCCTTTCCTGATTGGACAACAACTTAAATAAATTTTTTTGGATTTTTTAATATTTATTAAATTATATATATTAAAAATTTATAAAAAATATATTAAAATTTATTGTTTTAATATTGTAGAATATAATATTTATATAAAATATATTTGAAAATAATAATAAAAAATAGAAGGTAATAAAAAACAGTTATTTTCTGACATTTTGTGAGTGAATGGAAAACTGACTTTATAAAATAAGCGGTCAATGATAAATACACCGGCTAGTCCATAAGATCACTTGCTCGAGAGGGAGGACTGAACATCAATATCACGGACACATATATATTGGAAAGTTATTCGTACACAACATTTTTTTGTCATACACAAAAATTTATGCATTATATAGTTGTACAATACAACATTTTAAACCATTAATTGTTATATATATATATATATATATATATATATATATATATATATATATATATATATATATATATATATATATATATATATATATATATATATATATGGCTGAGAGAATATGTGGCTATCATGTACCTAAGCTTATATATAGAACCATCCAAATAATGTAGTTTTGATCCATTTATATCCAAACAACTTATGATATCTCTTTTACTATTCTTATTTAATCATGTGACTTACTAAATCGATCAAATTTATGTTCTTTTTCTTCATTGTGTTTAAGAATGTAAAGCATCAAAATTTGTGACCATTTAATCAACCATACTAAATTTTAAATGAAAACTAATAGAATACAAAGATAAAAGAACATGTCATAACTCAATCAAACTTTTTACAAAATCATTGGATATAGTTTTTCAATTGAAAGACAAAATGCTAAAGTTATATTCGTTAAAAAATATTGGTTTTTTATTTTCTCTATAAACTTCAATAATTATTTGCAATAAAAATATATATAATTGATCTTTTTCATTCTATAATTGAACTTAATTCAATGGTATTCTATTAAAACAAAGCTAGGAGAAAATGAAATTGGATTTGTTTTGTTTAAAACTAAATCGTTTAAAATGTTCTATACCTAAGCTTAGGTACATAACAGCCACATATTCATTTTTCCCATATATATATATATATATATATATATATATATATATATATATATATATATATATATATATATATAGGGTTAGGTTCATGTGAGAAGGTCTAATTTTGTGAGATCGTGAGACGCATTTTTTTATTTTATTTTTATTTTTTTTACTTAATTCAAGTTCCGAAAATAATATTTAAAAAAAGAGTTTTTTGATTTTTTCATTTATTTTGCATTTTAAAATTGTTTTAGAATATGTACAGTTAAATATTGTATTTAGAATATTTCACGTATTTTTCAGAAAAATATGATTTTTTTTTAAATTTTTTTATTTTTTTTAGTTAATTCAAGTTTCGAAAATAATATTTAAAAAAAGAATTTTTAGATTTTTTCATTTATTTTGCATTTTAAATTTATTTTTTAAAATATGTCAGTGTAATATTTTATTTAGAATATTTCACGTATTTTTCAAAAAAAAAAAGGGGTTTTTTTAAAATTTTTTAATTTTTTTATATTTTTTTTCAATTTTTTTTGGTTAATTCAAGTTCCGAAAATAATATTTAAAAAAAGAATTTTTGGATTTTTCCATTTTAAAATTATTTTTAAATTTGGTCTTACGTTCTCACAAAATTAGCATGGTTTCAAATGAACCTGAACCTCTCTCTCTCTCTCTCTCTCTCTCTTTATATATATATATATATATATATATATATATATATATATATATATATATATATATATATATATATATGGGAGAGTTCATGCGAAAATGCAAATAATTTGCGAAAACGCGAAAACAATAAAAACCTATGATATTATGTCACCTCAACATTATATTTTGGAAAATAATTCATCCAAACTTTGAAATACATGATGATAATCGATGATAGATGATAAACTGTTTCATATTAGCAAAGTATGATTTTTAACATTTTTATTATGAAAACATGAATTTAAAAATGATTAAAGACGTGAAAAAAATATAATTATAAAAACCGTCTTTAAATCTATATTACCATAACACCATCCAATTCAAACTTACTATCTTTAATTTATTGCTAATAAAATTACTTTTTTATAGTACATGTGTTTAATTTTCATAAGATAAAATCTGTTTTCGCGTTTTCGCAGGATATTTATATTTTCGCATGAACTTACTTTTATATATATATATATATATATATATACTTGTTGTGAATATTAATCACCACTATCCTTTTAATTACGAGGACAATAAGAAAGATAGTCCAATTTTTTAAAAATTATAAAAATATCCATAATAAAGTTATAGAAATTGTCCTTAAGATAAACCAAGATTTACAAAAATGGTCCCTCTATGAATTAGTTACAGAAATGGCCCCTATAAGATTTACATAACTACAAAAATGACCCTAAGAAGAAATTGAAAATTATAAAATGATCCATGTAAAAAATAATTACAAAAATAATCTCTATATAATAAGGATATTAAAAAAAATAATCTTTATATAATAGAGAGATTGTGTAATGTTGGTCCATATATGATAGTACTATATCTCACAAAAGAAAAAAAAGAGGCCTTTGATATTAACATAAAAGGTCCCCATATAATTTTGAACACTATAGAAATAGTCATTGTGTAATATCAAAGTTATATAAATGGCCCTAGTGTAATGCTGAGATTACAAAATCGGTTTATATGTTAGACAAAGTTACACTCATAGACCCTATATAGTAATAAAATTATAAAAAATAATATGTTACATAAATTATATAAAAAATATAAAATTAATAAACGTATGGTAACTTTCAAATAACCCAACTAATTTAAATTAAAAGCAACTAAAAAAAAACGTTTATCTTATGTTAAGAAAATTGAATGTGATATACTATGTATTTTAGAATAAAACTAAAACCAATATTATTGCGTTTTGCTTTTCTTTTCTAAGAATTTATTCATATGACGACATTGTACCAAATAATTTCTTTTAGCGGGACCGGCCTTTTGATAGTAGCTTTTGGAAATCAACCAAGTAAAGGGTACAGTAAGAATTACACTAAAAGACCGAGGACATGTACGTAATTTCCACCAACAGTTGAACAAAGAAATCCATATACAGAGGAGGGGCAAAAGTCTTCACACCCTTTTGGCTTTCTTTTTCGTCGTCAGCACTGATGTTGCTTCAATAATCCGGGAATCTTTCGAAGAAAAGCCAACACTCCACCCTCAGAATTTTTGTACACGTACCCTAATTTCTAAAATCCAGGTATTTTTTTATTATTTAATTTAATGTTGATCGAATTTGACAATCGGAATCGGTGGTGTCATTTTTCCCATATATCCGTTGGTATTCTTGACATTTTCATAGAGAATTATCAGCAAAAAATCTAAGAAAAACGAAAAAACAGAAAAAATGGTGTCGGCAAACAAGGAAATGGTGGTGTATTGCTTCGATACGCTGGTGGCTCACTTCAACGGCGAACAAGTTCCCCCTCCTGCTTTCGATGAGGGTCAACAGTAATCTTCTCCATCCCTCTTTAAAGTTTTGATCTTTCAATGTCATTTTCTATCTACTTGCTTAGATTCCTTCATTAATTCACTGTTTTATGTCATTGTTTTGGGGTTTCTTTTTGGATTTTGTGATGATTCTATATATGTATGACAATTATGGTGTTATTTGCAATTTGTATACATCTCTTATCCACTGTTCTCAATATATATTTGACTTATTGGAATGCCTCCATGTGTTTGTGTGTTAATTGCTTAACCCTTATATTTAATCTTTTTGGGAACTACAACTATGCATCTTTCAGCCTTCCTCCCCAAAAGGTGCATCGGAGTTAAAAAAAGAAATTCAGGAATCCATAAGTGAGTCTCAGGTTCAAACCTGGGAATTCGTAAAAGAAATTTCAGTTTACATGTGATTGGATGTGATTTAAGTACATATGATAAATCTATCTTCATCATAGATCATCTAAGAATTGACATTCACATTGTCTATGAACAATGAAATGATTTGATTATGGCCATTGTGATTTCAGCCCATTGTTTGTGACTTGGAAGAAAGCTGTGAATGGTGGGGAACCTCGCCTACGTGGATGCATAGGAACCCTGGAAGCTCGCTGCATAATAAATGGCTTCAAGGATTATTCACTAACCAGGTAGCTTACTAGTTTCTCAACAATGTTGTACTCTTTTTACAAATTTGCCCTCAGTTATACTTTTTTAAACATCATTTCAGTGCTCTGAGGGATCGGCGATTTCCACCAATACAGTCTAAAGAATTACCATTCTTGCAATGTACAGTTTCCATTCTTACTAATTATGAAAACGCTGCTAACTATCTCGATTGGGAGGTATATTTAATGTTTCTGTAATTTTTTTTTAAAAAGTCTATTCGAGTTTCTTTGCAACATTTTCGTTCATCAACTCTTGTTGTAGGTTGGAAAGCATGGAATTATTATAGAATTCACTGACCCTGATTATAATACAAGGCGAAGTGCCACATACCTACCTGACGTGGCTGCTCAAGAAGGTTTTAACTTTTAAATTGATAGTTGATACTACGGATGTTATTGGGCTAGTTTGTAACTTTGGGCTTTACATTATGATTTGTGTATTTTGGGTTTTTCAGGTTGGACAAAGATAGAAGCGATTGATTCACTGATGCGTAAAGCTGGTTATAATGGCACCATAACTGAGTCTGTGAGGAAACGTATCGAGTTGACTCGTTACCAAAGCACGTTATTTACAATGCATTATGGGGAGTATGTGAGCTATGTGAAGACAACTCGAGGTGTTGCGCTTTCTGTTGCTGGGCTTAAATCCCGTTGACCCATTTCATACTAATATTAGTTAATTGGAATCACATCAATATAATGTGTAGTTTGGTTCCAGGGTAATTTAGGAAAAGAAGATGGCAGGGTATGGGCGGGTAGGACCCGACTCAGCCATGTACCCGGTGGTTGTTGTTGCCTTGTTTCTAAGTTATTTTATAAAATTTGGTCAACTTGTATCTCAAGTTGACTGATGGAAAAATGTTGGGATTTAATGTTTGTGACGTGGAAATATTTGCAAAGTTTGTTTGAATTTTGAGGTATATGATTTGTGTGGTAGTTTGTTTTAAGGTTGACTTTTGACTTTTGAGGTCCAAGTTTTTGTATTTGGGTATTGTTCTTGTACCTGGCAAAAAAAAAAAAAAAACTGTTTAAGTATTTTCGTTTTGTTCTAACAAGTATTTTTAAGAACATATACTTTTGGAAATTTTGATCTATAAATTGGTTTATAAGCCTAGTTAAAGATTGTTTTTTTCCCAAGCCCTGTATTTGCAAAACAGCTGAATACGATATGATCGCTAATGTATATGGGAAGTAAGTATGCAATTTTTTTCTTCAAGGTTGAATAAACAATGAGACTAAAGCTCCGTGTACGCATGCTAATTTATTTTTGAATTTATTTCAATTTAGTGTTTGGTGACCACAAAAGTAACATATAGTAGCTTATAAACTTTGTTTGATGTGTTATTTGAGATGACTTATTGTTAAGTTAACTTATAAACTAAAAACTAGTTTTTCAGCTAATACGTTAAACACAACCTAAATGATTAATTTTTATGCATCCCAAAAAAGAAAAAAAAACAAATTTCACAATTATTATAGTTTAACAATCATAGAGTATCATTTTACTTTACATTTCAAAAAATAAGTTTCATAATATTCATTAATTTTAAAAAATATATGAATTTTAACATAGAGGAGTTGTGAGGAAAAAGGAAGAACATATAGATAAAACTTAAGGTGTGTTTTGTTCAAAAATTTTAAAGGATTTGGAGGAATCTTAATGTTAATATCGGTAAAAATTGCATTTGGTTGACAAAATCAAAGAAATTGAAACTTTTAAAATTCCATTAAATTTCGTGTTTGAAGGAATTATTCATTCTTTTCTAAATCAAATATTTTAAATTTTATTCTTTATCTTCATGTAAATATCTCATGATTTTGATACTTGTTATTTTTGAAATAAATAATGCCCTCATGTTAGTTTTTAGTTTTTTTACAAATTTTAAAATAAAAAAACCACATAATACTCATAATTATATACGTAAACTATTAAACGTAATAAATGTGATAATAAATTTCAATTAATATATTTTTCCTTTCTTATTTTAAAATTAAAACGCCACATAATACTTAAACTTTGATATTTTATTATAAAGACAAAAATGCCTTTTCACCTTTTTTTATCTTAGCAATTGTTCACCAAATCAGATATTCTACAAACCAAACATCCTCTTAAAGTCTTCATACATCCAACCAAGTTTTTCCCCCCGTAACCCATTAAGTCATTCTGTCAATGTTAAGTCAAGAAGAAATAACCATGCACACATATACAAATTAAGTGCTTCACCCATAAAACTTATTAAGTAAAAAAGAAAAAAACTGTTAGTAAGTTTAACGATTATGTTGGCACGTTGGGGCTTTACAACAATGACATGACATGCATGTTGCCTTATGTGATGAACTTTGTTCAAATTCCTATTTTAGGTTACGTACTTTGTTATACTATGAAATATTTTTAGAAAAAAAAAACATTTTAGGTTATCCATAGAGGACGATGATAACCAGTAACCTACCCAAAAGTTGAAAATTGCCAGAAATATGACCATTCAAAGGCACACTATACTTTTAAAGGGACAAAATTGCCAGAATGGACTCTGTGTTATGTCACAACTCGTAAGTTTTGTCCAAAATTGTTTGAACTCATGCCGGTGGTTCAAATTTTGATTTTGTTGCCTGTTTGATTCAAAATTTTCAAAACTTTTTATAAAAACATATTTGTCATTGGCATTTTCCACTTTTTAATTTTTTTTATTATAGATATCATATAAGAAAAAAGAAAATATCCCCCCCCCCCCCTCTCTCTCTCCCCCTCCAAGCTTTAGTGGCATGTGAAAATTTTGTACATATGAAAAATCGATGCTTTCTTTCTAGCTTCAGTTGGAGCTCTAATAGTTGCTATAAATAGTTACCATGACATAATGCTATGAAAATGCTTTAACTTTTTTTTTTTTTTTTTTTTTTTTTTTTTTTTTTTTTTTGTCAATGGGTTCGCTATAAATATTTTTTGGGGTTTCTTGTTCTAAAGTCGAAATCAGATATGATGAAGGGTTTCTTATTCTAATGTCAAAATCAAGAGTTGAAGAACACACACATACATTCATGAACCCCATATCTAATGAACACACACACACACATACACTAAATCAAATTTGATGAAATTAAGAGCTAAAGAACACACACACACACACTTATATTCATGAACCCATATCTAATGAACACACATACACACACACAAAATCAGATTTGATGAAGGGTTTTCAGACATATGTCTTCGGAAAACAGGTGGTGGTCTGAATTCCAATGAAATAAAGCTTACTGTTTGCAGATCTAAACTTCGACAAACAAGTACCATATATTTGAACTCCTGTGAACAACGAAACGTCGGATATGGAGAGAAATGAAGGCGGCAACGAAACTCATGTGTTTGTTGTGGGTACGGATATATAGATGTTCACATCTGTCATCCTTTGTCTTATTGTCATTGTCAATCGTCTTCTACAAACATAGGAGGCTCGTCGGAGAAGGACGACAATGACAAGTGTGGCTCTGGTGGTTTCTTACGGTCAAGGTGGAATGTGGAGGTGGTAACGAAGTTTAGGGCTTTAAGATCCAGCGACGTTGCAGAGCCGGTTGGATGGAGGTAATGGTGGTGGTCCGATGAAAATAAGAGTCTCTAGTGACTAGGGTGGTCCCATAAGCGGTGGTGGTCAGACAGGAGGTGACGGTTTTGCATCAATGAAGATAGAGAAGTATGTATATATATATATATATATATACACACACACACACACACACACACACACACACACACACTTCTCTATGAGTGTGTGTGTGTGTGAGAAAGAGAGGTATTTTATTTTAGTTTTACTTTTAGTTGTTGTAATAAAAGAAAAATAAAAAATAAAATAATAAGTGACAAATCCATCTTTATAAAAGAAGTTTAAAACACTTTGGCCAACTCGCAACAAAATCAAACTTTTGGACCACTGATGCAAGTTATGACATAAAACATGGACCATTCTTGCAAATTTGTATTTTTGAAGACAAAATAAAGTATATTAGATAGAGCTATATTACAAATATAGATTGCAAATGTTCATATTTTTATTTTTATGTGTAATTTGTTGGTTTGTTTATAGAATTGTTACTGAACTTCTAAAACTGTATTGATAGTTAAACCAATTCAAGTAACTATGTTTACTAAAAATAGACAACAACCTGATCATAAAATATACCAAAATTTAAATTATTTTTTATTTCATGTAAAATTGCATATTACTTAAAATAAAAACCCATTTCGATTGACCCGGTGATTCTCTCTTGGACCCTTTCCCATGGAACCAACCATTCAACCAACAGCATGATCATCAAACCAACACATTCACTAATTCACATTCTCTCATTTTTTCCATAGCTCAAACAGATCCCTAATGGCGATGAGATCCATCATTTCCTCAAGATCACATTCTCTTCTTCATTTCAAGCACTCATCCAATTCCAATTTAAGATTGCTTCGTCTCTTCAGCGATCAAGGCCGCGTCCTTGACGACGAAGAACGTGCTCGTGAGAATCTGTACGTCAAGGTATTTTTTTTTTAATATCTGTTTTTGTTTATTTTATTACCGATGGTTAATCGATCACTGGAGGTTTCATTTTTGGCGTACATTGAATGTTGAAGAAAATGGAGAAAGAAAAGCTGGAGAAGCAGAAGCAGAAAATGGAAGGAAAAGACAAATTAGACGATAAAGATAAATCTGAGAAGGTATTGTAAATCTATAATGTTGTAAATTTTATCTTATATATCTCATTGTTTATTGCTTTGATTTGGTTTTATCAATAACCTAATTTCTATTTATTTGTTGTTTAGAAACCATAAGGAAGAAGGCAAAACTTGTAAGCTGAGATGGATCCGCTTAATCGACTTCTGAAGCTCTTGACTCAAGTAGATTAATAAACGTGAGTCTGAAAACAAGACTTAAATTGGTCAATCGTTAATGGTGTTTTCTGCAATTTTTACACTTTTTACATTTCATTGTCGTGCTTCGTTTTTATAAAACAAAAGCACAATTTTGTTAGATGATCCTTAGAAGTTGGGTCAATGAAGAATTTATCATGAATTTTTTTTGAAGATATCTGTTTTTGGAACTTACCCAAAGGCCGAATGTGATGAAAATATCGACATAATAATTAACAAATTTGACGAACAAAGTTGAGGTATATTATTGTGAATGTGGAGTAAACAATACTTCTTGATCTTTGTCATTTGGCTCAACTTAAAGCCCGAGGCAAATTGACAACCAAGAACGGCAATGGAGCAATTTATTTTTTTGTTGGAAACCAGAATGTAAAATGGACAAAATTAAACAATTGGGTTGAAGTTTTATTCCAATTTATAAAAATATTTAACATGTTAAATATTATTACACAAACTATATTTAATGAAATAATAATATAGTTCTTTTTTGAGTAAAATTATTTTGTAGGTTGTATGCATCTTAGAATTTGGTGATTTTTGACTTCATTCTTTAACCAAATTTACAAATTTTATATATTTAAGGAAATAAAAAGTAACAACGTTAACATATTTCTAAATAAATGAATTAAAGCCTGAGTGTATTTTTTTTTCTTATTTTAATTTACTTTAGTACTAGATTATGACCCGTGTTAAACGTGGGGAACATAAATTAAATACATATTACATTAATAAGTGATATTGTTTTAGGTGAAATTTTAATAAAAAATGTTAGTTAGATTCATTTTAACCTTTTGAACCAAACTTATTAAATTAAAATATTTAATATTTATATTAGAGCAATTTGGTTTTTTAATACAATAATTTTTAACATAAATGATCCACGTGATCTTTGCATTATCACAACATGATGCGACTTCTTGATTAAAACATGTTGTGTAGTAGCTTTATGAATTGACTTTGTCCGGTGTACCAACCTCCATGGAGGCTTACATGACTCTTTCATATTGGACTTGTAAAACCAAAAACAACAATAAGTTGTTATATGTACCAACAACATTAAATTCTGCAAAAGAAATTCGATAAACATTACAGTTTAAGTGCATTGTCATAACCATAAACATCAAATTCAGATATTTTAATTTGGTAAATTTATAAAGTATATTTTTCTTATAAGAATTAAAATATGATTTTTCAGGGGGATAATGACTTGAAAGGGTAACGAACTTTCGACTTTTGTCACATTTAGTCACTAAACTTTTTTTCGTTATCTATTTGCCATTGAACTATTGAAACTGTTCACATTTTACCCTTATGACCGGCTGTTACCGGTCATAAGGGTAAAATGTGAACAGTTTCAATAGTTTAGTGGCAAATAGATAATGAAAAAAAGTTTAGTGGCTAAATGTGAACAAAATCGAAAGTTCGTTTCCCTCTAAAAAGTTCAATGACTAAATGTGAACAAACTGTCTATTGTATTATGTTTTAGCAAAATTATTTATTTTTGTTTAATTGTAGCAACATTTGTTAATGAAGAAATCTATGAAATAAAAAAACAAAATGTAACATCCGGATTTCCAGGTATCATCATTTAAGTATTTTTCTTTTGAGTTAAGAAGAGAGACTCGATGAGTTGACGCCTCAACTCGTCGAGTAAGGTCGCGACTGATGACTCAGATTAATGAATGGACTCGACGAGTCGGTGAGGCGACTCGAGGAGTCCACACTGTTGGCAGAAACCCTAAATCTTTGGGCTCGAGCCATATTTAAAGGCACTTATGGCCTTCAATTGCGACTACCTTTCCCATAAGTGAGAACCCTAGCGAGCTTGAGTGTGTAGAGTGAGAGGAAGAGATATCTTGAGCTTTTTGATGTGATAGATCTGGACCCTTCTAGGTCCAGAGAGTCGAGAATATGAAGCTTTAGTAGAGTAAACCTTGGGGTTCAAAGTTAGGAAGAATTTATGGTATATATATAGTTACTTTCATCTTACACATAGATATGAAGTATTTTATATAAATTACGTGCTATGTGTGCATATTATTTGAATACTTGTTGTCTATGCTGGATGAACAATTTTATACATGTTTTAAAAGATTTAAACGGTATATTTATTTTATATCTACAAATATGTTGCGGATGAAACATGAATAGATGAAATAGTTGGTGTGTGATGAAATAAAATGATGAGAGATAGGTGATGATACAAAGGTGGTGATAATTAGGTAAATAGAAGATGATGAATATGTGATGTAGGATGAAAGGAGATACCATAACCTTAACCAACAATGTGGCGATGTAGTCATCTACCAGAGTATAGATGACGACCACGGACTATTGTAGACAACCCAGTGGAAACACCAGTAGGCCCATAACCTGTAGGTGATGAATTACGAGTTCAAGCGATGTTGTAACTAAGTATATAACAATCATTTATTAAACTTTTGAAATGTTTAGTGATCTTTGTTAATTAAGATTGCTTTATTTATTTACGATATTTATTATGTTATTATAGTTTCATATGGAAATAAATATTTGTAAGTGTTTGAATACATTAAAATAAAAAATGTTTATTGATTTAAAAAAAGATTGTAATATTTTTTTTCCTTAATAGATTTGAAATTGTTTACTATATTCAATAACCAATTTATCATTTTAACATTAATCTAACCTTAAAAACAAATTGGATTGTAACCTTGGATTTTTGTTTTTCTTAACCAATGACTTACACACCAATTTATGTTTAACCTTATCAATATTGGTCATTTATATGCATAAATACTAAAATAAATTATCAAAATTTTTTGTTTGGTATCCCATACCCGTTATTTATTTATTTATTTTTTTATATTTTTTTATAAACCATATTTTAGTATTGCATAAGGTAATTGAGTCTTTCATAAAAAAACATGAGAAGTTTTTTCATTAAGAAATAAATAATAAATTAACAAAATTCACCAAATTTGATTCATCACGGACACATTGATAACCTGTGAATATATGTAAACGAGTAAACTTCATAAATGGTCAATGTGCATTCTAAAAATCCGAGATATGGTGTGTTCGGCTAAATTAGTTGGTAGAGAGTAGCGTGTAGCTTGTAGCGTTTTGTTAAATACTATATGAAGTAGCATTTTGATTTGAAGTGTTTTGTATAAACTATGCGGTAGAATCTTTTAGTGTCAAACAAGATTTCTGTTCAAAACAGAACGTTTTGTCGAACGCTAGAAGCTATAAACTTTCAAACGGTCACAAATGCTACATGTCGAACACATCCTCTCTAAGTTCAAAAAAACCTTCTTGATGGTCCATGTAGTTTCTAAACTTTTAACAAACGGTCCTTTTAGGTAACTCCATCAACTTTTGGCTGTTAATAAAATTGCATTTTCATCATTTCACTACCATAGTGATCCTTTATAAAGGTTTGTCTTATTTATAAAAAATAATAAAATATCTCTTTAATATACGAAGGATATCTTTCTCCCCTCCCCCCCACCTTTCTCTCTCTCTCTCTCTCTCTCTCTATATATATATATATATATATATATATATATATATATATATATATATATATATATATATATATATATCTTGGACACCAAGAGTACAATCACCATCTTCATCTTCTTTATCGCACCCTCTCTCCCTTTCTTAATAAAACCCATATGATCTTTATCTTAATCGGGTAATTATTTTCTTTCACCAAACACTTCATTTTCATATATTAAAACCTTCACTCTGAAAAAATCAAACTAATAAGCTTCATGTGTACGCTTAATGTTCATCAGGTTACTTACCGGTGGTTGTGTTCTACTTATTATATATTGTAGATCTTATAAAATGGGTCAATATTCAAAGATGAATTTTGAAAAGTATTGTGTAGTAGATGTAAGTCCCAAAACTGTTCTTCCTTCTCCTCATCATTTAAATCTTGAAAAGAGAAAGGTTAAAAAGAAACTTAAACCCATTTTCAAAAATGAAGTATCATCCTTGAGTCAATACAATTAATTTAAGAGATATATATATATATATATATATATATATATATATATATATATAGTAATAATCATATGCGTGTGTGTTAAATAATAAATCATTAAGTATATTGTACATATTAATCACCAAATTGGCTGAGTTTTACAATACTGTTCGCTTTAGTAATGCGCCGATCAGGGAATACTAAGATTTTGTAACTCGTCTTGGTAAGGGGCCGAGTAGAGAGTATTTAACCGAGTAACTCAACGAGTTTTACAATACTGGTTTCAAGATTATTTATTGTTATTCACTTGTTTGATTTTTTCATTGTTGTTCGTAAAGTGTGAATTGTAAAATAAGAAATTTAAATCTCATAACAAAAACAAAATCATTGTTTCATTGATAACTTTTTATTTATTTGCTTTGATTTTTTAATTTGTGATTTTTCAATTGTTGTTTTTTTCAAAAATTAGAATAATAATGTTTTTATTCAAGTTTTTTTTAATAAAAATGATAAATAAATGGTAGAAGAATATAATGAGCAACATAAGCACTTGAAAGTTGATTTAAGGTCACCAACTATTGATTTGGCAAAAATGACCAACTATAGCGTTTTTTCATGTAAACCATGTGGTTTTACGTTTTGGTTTGGTACAATTGTAAGATATTGTTTGCTTATATGACTTGATCTTGATCCGCAACTATTCTTTTTTATTTTTTCATTTTCTATCGGTTTCATTTAAATAGTACAATACGTGTTTTTGTATTTTAGACTAGTCACTGATAGCAACCTCGTAACCTAATTATAACATGAAGAACACCGTCTCACCCTCAGTTATAATAGTAAGAGACGTGGACAATGAGATGTAATACTATTTTCCAACCAATGAAATCTCTCTCTCTCTTATATAATCTAGTTATAACATATGAACACCATCCCTATTTTTAGTTATGATGTTAATAATTTGATATGGCATGCGAGTTGACATTTTTATGATGTTACAACACCCATCCATACCTAATAGTTTAAATAAATGAATTGAAATCGACTCCCAATAGAATTTTATTGTGAAATAACAAGCAATCCTAACAATCTTCTAGAATGACCTATTGTTGCAGATTGTATTGTTTTTCTTTCTTATTTCTTATACTTAAGAATCACGATGTGATGAATGAATATTACGGACACGTTCATTTATAAAATGTTTGGTGAATTTTCCTTCATTTTATTGAATGTGCAAGACAACATAAGGAGAGCCGTCCTAAGAAAAAGAATCCACAACCTATTTTCTAATTATATAAATTAAGATCAAGAAATAATTTTATAACCTTTTATTTTTTACAAAAACAATGATCGTAAGGTTTTTGTATTTAACATATTTACAAAATCAATAATACTCCCAAATTTTATGAAAGGGTCCAGAGTCCACCCTATATATATGTCATCTCTTTCGCATTTCAAGAACAATCAAACAAACAAGTCACCAGTTTCATCGATCAGTCGTTCCTAACAACAAAAATGGCATCAAAGCTTAAAATCTTCGTATCACTTGCAATTGTATGCGCCACTCTGACTGTATCCATGGCCGGAGATCCCGACATTCTCACAGACTTCATCGTGCCACCTAACGTAGGCGGCCCACTCGACGGAAACTTCTTCACCTTCACCGGAATGCGGTCACTCGTCGGAGCTCCATTTCCGGCGACTTTCAAGGTCTCAAAAGCAAGCATGGCTGAATTCCCGGCTCTTAATGGCCAAAGTGTTTCTTATGCAGTTCTTCAATTTCCATCCGGGTCAGTCAACCCGCCCCACACCCATCCACGGGCCTCCGAGCTCTTGTTTGTTCTCATGGGTTCTTTGCAGGTAGGGTTTGTTGACACCACCAATAAGCTGTTTACACAGACACTACAACAAGGCGACATCTTTGTCTTCCCCAAGGGACTTGTTCACTTCCAGTTTAACAGTGATGCAAAGAATCCCGCTTTAGCTGTGTCTGGATTTGGGAGTGCGAATGCGGGGACTGTTTCGGTTCCTAATTCTGTTTTTAATACCACCATTGATAACCAGATTTTGGCATTGTCGTTCAAGACTGATGTGGCTACCATTCAGAAGATTAAATCCGGGTTTTCTGGCTAATTCTTAGGCTTGACAGTTGAGTTTTGAATTTATTATGTAATAACGATTTGTTTGTCGAATAAATTCTATATCAGATTTTGATAATATAAGATTTTTTCTTTACGATTCTTGATTTCGGTTTCCATAAGAGCACTTCCGTAAATTTTCCATTGAGTTTTATCGTCATTCAGCGTGTTATTGATTGAAATTCTAGCTAAATTCAAGAAAAGCTCACTTTTTCAGATGTAATTCTGAAAATCAAACATACCTTTTACGTGATTAACATATCGAATTATCAATCAATGATACTTTTTTGCTAACCGGTTTATTTAACAAGCAATGTTTTAAAACCCGGTTTTTAGTTGAGAGATGTTATGACCAGTTCACGGATCAATCCGGTTTATGGTCTTTTTCTATTTTTATATATTTTTACTTTCCTACCTAATGCATAATCATATAAAACCAATAATTTGATGTCCACAAAGTTTAAACATTAAAAAAAATTGAAGAAAATTCGCAACCGACTCGTTATTTTGGCGTTCATTACTTGTATCCAACTATCCAAGTCCTATTAAAACGGATTAATCCGATTTTAATAGGTTCAACATAAGCGGTCGAACCGCAGTTTAGGAGAAACCCGACCAATTCAATCCGGTCCGTATTTTTACAAAAAATCGTTCTCAATTGACCAACCTTCTACCCCGGGTTACGATCCAACCGGTTGAACCGACCGGTCGAACCGGGTTTCAAAACATTGTACACAAGATATCTAAATCAACACGCTTTTGTTTTATGCAAGAATAGGGTTGGATTAGAATCAGAGTTCAAAGAGATTTCCAAGTTAATTTGTGCATTGCTGAAAATCGAGACAAAGTTCAATGAATTATACACATGTAGCGAAAAAATCTATTCTAATAAATGAATGTTTTTTTTGCAACATGTCACACTCATTCAATTTGCCAAATGTCATTTTATGGTTATTTTGAATTAATTTTTTTTCCACATGTCATTTTATGAGTTTTTCTATTTTAATAACTTTAATATAATAATTACAATAAATATAGTAATAAATTAATATCAATTTCATTAATGAACTTACCTTCTTATTTCAAAATTTATAAATTAAAGCTTATTAGTTTTTTTTATTGATTTAAATTTAAAGGATAAAAAAATTCAATTTTAATAATTTCTTATTTTTTTTTTATAAATACAACGTTTTTAAATATTTATACCTTCATATATTTTTTTTAAGACAAAATTACACAGATGGTCCCTGTGGTTGGCACGAGAGACCAAAGATAGTCCTTATGAGGAATTTTGGACGAGTATGGTCCCTGTGGTTCCAAATTGTTGCACGAATAGTCCTTATGACATACTCCGTTTAATTGTTGCCGTTTATCTAAATCACGTGACCCTCACACGAGGGTATTTTCGTCATTTGCTTATCCCTTCTCTCTCATGATCTGCAAAAGATAGTCCCTTTCCCTATAAAAATTAAACCCCCATCACTTCCTTCTTTATTTATCGTCTCCTCTATTCTCTCTTCTCTCTTCTCTCTTCTGTGTGTTTGTAAGAAAATTTGCATAAGAATGGTAAATTGTTTTTGTGGAAGGCAAGCGGTGATAGTGACATCATGGACGGATCTCAACCCAGGGCGTAGGTTTTGGAAATGTCCTAGCAGTTGCGGTTTCATTGCATGGTTTGATGAGCCCATGTGTCGAAGGGTTGTGGCTGTCATTCCAGGTTTGCTAAGATCCAAGAACAAGCTTCAAGAATCTCTGCTGCAAGCAAGTTTTGAAGCAAAAAAAGTGAAGATGATGCTAGTTTTTAGTTGGGTTTTCTTTTTCATGTATGTGTACAAAAGATGCTAATAGTATTAGTCTGGAGATGATGGTTCTTTTGCTTGTGGGTAGATAGATGATGGTTCTTTTGCTTGTGGGTAGAATCAGATAGTACTATTAATTTGAAGATGATTTCGTTTTTTTGTTTGTGATGTAAGAAATGTTCGTATGTATGAATGGAATGCTTTTTATTTGGGAAACTTTTAGTCTGCAACCATTGAAAAATATTGGTCTGGAACGTAATGAGTGTAAAAGATTGGTTTACAACTTAATGAACTATCCAGATCCATTAAAGTATAAAAAATGAAAGTGAAAGGTTTTTATAGGGTTTAGACCATTGTAGTATAATGTGTGAACCATTGTAAAGCCATAACAACATTAGAAATGTTCAAAAATAAAATGCAAACTTTTGCATAGTCATAAAGTTCATTACATAACCTTAAAGTGCAAAGTCATAATACCAAAAAAATATCAAAAGAGCTTGCAGACTAATGTATCATAACCAAAAGAACCATCTTAGTCTAGCACCCTGTGTGAACCATAATACCAACAAAAGATAAAGACACACAATAACCAACTTAGTCTGACCTTTCTAAGGTACCAAAACAAACAACACAAAAGAACTTTCTAAGGTTCCATAACAAACAACACAAAAGACAACAAATCAAACTTTTTCCATTATTTTGGATTTATCCTTTTTTCCATCTCCCTGCTTCTTTGCCTTGCTAAGCTTCTTGCCCCCTGCCACCACATTTCTAACTTCAGTTTGTCCCCCTTGTCCCTTGCAACTCCTAGAGTTGTGACCCTTGTTCTTGCATTTGCTACAAGTAACTGTAAGGAACTTCCTGGTCAAACTTTTACCTTGATTATTTGGTTCTTCAGTTTGAGCTCTCTTTCTCTTCTTTTTTGGTCTCCCTACCTGCATAATTAATAAATTATAAAACAATATAAACATATACTAACTTGTAAATTGAAAATTATTTACCTGTTTAGTATGTTTGGGGGGTGTTAGTGTTGTGGGGCAATCTGACTTTGGCCACATACTTCTTCCATTGATTGGTTGAACTTTGTACTTGTACATTTCATTCCATGTGCTTAACCTATAACATGGATGTACCCACTCCTCAAGAGGTGGGACATTTTTTGCCCCATGCTCAACCTTATCCCAAATGGCACTAACAAGATGAGAGCATGGTATCCCAGTGATCTCTGTATGCCTGCAACTACAGTTCCTGTCCCTCCAATTAACCATAAATTGTTCCCCCATTGTCCCAGTAACTTGAGTCTTCTCAGCACCATTAAATATGCAAGTGTATTGAGAACCATGTTTCTTAACTCCATCTAAAAGTTTTGTGGCTGTTGGGGTAAGAGGCCCTTGAGACTTATCTATCACATTTTGCACAATACAAATTCGTTTCATTAAGTATTCTCTAATATATTCTAAACATGTAATTATAGGTTTGTCTCGAGCATCTAACAACTTTGAGTTGAAAACTTCACATAAATTATTCAACAAAATATCTGTATGTGCTCTTCCTGTACAATGCAACAAAATATCTTATAAGAATCTGTCAAAGTGTAAATCTTCCTTGAATCTGTCAAGGTGTCTAACTGTTATATAAGGGTAAATATACCTGAAATATGTGCTCTGGCCCAATGTTTGGGTGGAATTTTCTTTAACCAATCACATGCCTTTGAATTGAACTTGTTAAAATCTTCCATGAATCTGTCAAAGTGTCTAACTGTTGTTGCTGTTGCACATTCCCATAAATGATCTCTGTGCTCCTTCCCCCTCCATTGTAGCTTCATGTTTTCGTGAATATGTCTTAAACAAAACCTGTGTTCAGCGCTAGGGAATAGGTTGGCAATAGCAGGTAAAATCCCCTAATAAACAAGTAACAAAAATGTTATTTTTTAAAGGTAGCAGACAAAATTACACAGATGTCATGAACAAGTATCATAAGAAGACTAACCTTTTGCCTGTCAGAAATAAATGTGAAGTTTGAATTTGTAGACAGCTCCAAATCTTCACCTAGACACTCTAGAAACCAACTCCATGAGCTTATGTTCTCGGCTTCAACTATGGCATATGCTAGTGGGTAGATCCCATTATTGGAATCAAGACCCACAGTAGTGAGAACCTGTCCAGGGTAAGGTCCCTTCATGAAAGCCCCATCGAATCCTAAGAAATCTCTTAAACCTGCCTTAAAACCCAGTTTTAATGCACCTAAACAGACATAAATTCTCTTAAACATCCTAGTTTCCAAGTTTGCATTTGGTTCACTGTATACATCAATCTTCACAGTTGTTCCTGGGTTGCACTGTTGTAATTCTAGTACATAATCCCTGAGAAGGCTGTATTGCTTTTCATAATCTCCGTGAACATGTTTCTGTGCAAGCTGTTTAGCCCTAAAGACCTTCATTCTTGACATCCCCACCTCGTATGTCTTTTGTAACTCTACACGCAAAGCTTTGACTGGGATAGTTGGGTTTCCTTCCACTTGTTGAAGAATGGTGGTTGCAAGAAACTTAGAAGTACACGCTTTAATAGATCTTGACTGCACACATCTATGCTCATGAACCAAAGTTTTCACCATCCAATCGCTTTCTTCATCAGATCTAGAAATTAATACCACCCAAGGGCATGTTGCTTTTTGTGAACTGACTGTTTTGTCCTTGCATTTGATTCTACTTTTTGTCCATGGCCCACCTGTCATTTCTGGGACCATACCCCTGCATTTTGCCCTAATTCTTTGTTTATCATTTTTTGCAAAATAAATGTTTCTCCTAGTTCGAATTGAATGCATTTTAATGTAGTCCTTCGCTTCTGATGAGGACTTAAATATTTGACCCAGATAGAATGCAGTTTCATGTACTACTCCTGATGAACACGTGGTTGGTTTGTTTAACCTTTTCATTAACTTCTTCCTCTCATCTTCTTCTACACCAGCTGATTCAAACAACTGTGTATCTATCACCTCCAAATCGTCATCAACTGTGACATCAGGTGCATTGAATGATTGGTGGTTATCTAGATTTGGAAAAGAATAAACACCACTGTGGAAGTCTTTCATATTCACTTCGACATCCTCCACCATATTAAGTTCATCCACTAAAAAGTCACTATCCTCGCTTATACTTCCATTGGTACTAGTCTCATCACTAATAGCATCTCCAATTTCTTCATTGTCCCCCATCTGTTGGTAATCATCGTCCCCCATCTGTTGGTAATCATTATGATCCATATAAAAGAAAGGATCAAAGTCTTCTGAAGGTCCAACATCTTGGGCTTTGTTAAGCTCCTCACTTGCAGGCTGAACTCCAACATCTTTCAATACATCTCTATCAAAATGTCCAAAAGGTACAACAGACCTAGAAAAGTCATAGTTCTCATTCAAGTCCAATTTTCTACTACATGATCCTACCTCTGTACTTGTAAACTTTTTTCGATTGAGTTCCGGAGAAATAGGCTCATTGATTTCTTCCAATACGACCTTATTTGGAGACATAAAGTATGTATGGAGTCTAGTAGTTCCATGTTCAGTATACACCATAATCTCTTTATGATTAGCGACATGCTTACTTAACAAAAGTACGTCTGAGTCATTACCTAAAGGAAGTAACCCATAATCGATTTCAATCTCTGGAATCAAGAAGTGGTAGTAGATAGGCTCACCGTTGATATAACCTATCTCCTTCATCATATCGTCTAACTCATGTACGGAGAACACGTCCATTCTACGTAGTCAACATAGTCAATACTCCCACCAACGTAACGTCTTCCTGGGTATTTTGTGAACATACCCCCATGGTGAATCTTGAATGTGCAAAAACTACTTAACTCAACTGAAAAACAAATAAATAATGATATGAGGAAAGAATGAAGTCTCAAAATTGAATGTGCATAAATTACTTAACAAAATTGGAAGTTGTTAACTGATCACTCACCATAAGCTTTGATCAGGTCAGGATTTTCTGAGAATTTTGAACGGACATTCCACAAAGTTAGAACCATCGCAAATGATGAAGATGAAAACCCTAGTTTCCGTTTGATGTTTTGCAGTGACGAAGATGATAAACCAGAGGAGAAAAGAAAGGGACGATTTCTTGGGGCAACGTAAATGGCAGCTGGATGTAAGGATCATTTATGTATATGATCATTTCGTGTAACAAAGCAAAAGACGAAAATACCCTCGTGTGAGGGTCACGTGATTTAGATAAACGGCAACAATTAAACGGAGTATGTCATAAGGACTATTCGTGCAACAATTTGGAACCACAGGGACCATACTCATCCAAAATTCCTCATAAGGACTATCTTTGGTCTCTCGTGCCAACCACAGGGACCATCTGTGTAATTTTGTCTTTTTTTAATTAACTTATGTAATAAATAGGACTAGTATAGTAATACATCATGTTCATTTAGACCCATACAAGACATGATAGGTTAGGCCTTGTAGTTTGTAATATATTTAATTTGTACAGATTGATGTTAACAACACAAAAAACTGCAAATATTTATTCCACAACCGGGAGTCTTGATCTCTCTCTTCCTCGCAATAGACTGTGTATGCGCTCTTCATCTTTTTCCCCATGTAACAACACAATAGTAAAACATTTGGACAATATAATTGTTTGGTGATTGGGAAAGAGTATTGTTTATTTCCTTATCTTCGCAACTATATTCTTTAAACACTAAAACAAGACCAATAATAATACAAAAAAGACACAACTAAGCAGATCAAAAACCATCTACAATAACAGCAAACTAATGACAAAACCAGCTACAAAAATACAAAGAAAGAAAACAACACATCACAGTTGTTTCTTTGTATGCTCAGATCATCTCAAGCATCCAATAACACACAAGTATATCCCCAGAACCATTCAACTAATCGACAATTCTTATGAACACGACCTCAAAAATCTTTATAAACTAATTACACTATAAACAGAAACCACCTTCATCTACATCACTACAATCATAACCCATATGAAACTATCAATGGCATCCATTAAAACTCTCCTCTGTGTCACATTCATATCCTTATCCATAATCCAATTAGCAGTCTCAACCGATCCAGACATCCTAACCGACTATGTCCTACCACCAAACACAACCGTAACCGATCCAAACTATTTCACATTCACGGGGCTCCGAACACTCGTGGATGCATCCTACCCAATTGCTTTTACAGCCATTAAAGTAACCCAAAATGAATTCCCGGGTTTAACGGGCCAAAGTGTTTCCTATGCTGTTCTCGAGTTCCCAATCGGGTCTATCAACCCGCTCCATATCCACCCGCGGGCTACTGAGCTTTTGTTTGTGATTGCGGGCTCGTTACAAGTCGGGTTTGTTGACACCTCCAACAAGCTTTTTACTCAGAAGCTTTTGACTGGTGACATGTTTGTGTTCCCTAAAGGAGTTGTGCATTTTCAGTACAATTCTAATGGAACTGAGCCTGCTTTGGCTGTTTCGGCTTTTGGGAGTGCAAATGCAGGGACACAGTCGATTGCGAATAGTGTTTTTAATAGTACGATTTATGAGGGGATTTTGGCTCAATCGTTTAATACTAGTGCAGATATTGTTGAAACGATTGAGTCTGGGCTCAAGGGGTGATTGGTGAGGTGTTGATAAGTTTCTAGTTTCTTTTGGTGAGATTGTTGCTTGATATTTGAAAATAATTGTTGATATTGATTCAACTTTACAGAACGGTTTGTAGAGTTTTGCTTTTTTGATAGGATTGTTGATTGGAATTTGAAGGTGTGTATTGACATTAAGAATTTATGATACAGAAATTGAATTATGGAGTTTTGATGAATCTGAATCTTGAACATATATGTATGAATTCATTTGCATAAATGAGGAAACACACAATACAAAGTTAGAAATAACAAGGTAAACTGTAAACACACATGTTTGGACAAATTTATCACATGATTGAACAGAAAATACTACCAATTTGGAGAGCGGCGTTCAATGCTTCAAACGCGATCCTCCAATTTTGCTGCAAAAATCGAAATTGTAATCAATAATATATATATATATATATATATATATATATATATATATATATATATATATATATATATATATATATATATATATATATATATATATATATTCAACCGGTTCAATTTTATGAAGGAAAAAATTAAGAACTAAATTTTCGAAAATTCTGCATATCAAGCCATAAAGAAAACCATCGCTGTAACTCGAGATACAACAATGGCTGCCTCTTGTGTATTCGTAATCATTTAAGCATTTCTATAATTCTTGAACCCATAATTATAGAGAGAAACAGAGACTGAAAGAGTATATAGTTGTCCCAAATTACCATTAAGTTAATAGAATCCAACTAGGTCATCATCCAATTTGAACCCATCATGAAATCCGATGTTTTGACCTTAATATATGAATTACAAGCTCTACTGGAAATAAAACAAAACTGAAACACTAATTTACCGTCTATATCTTGGTGTTTTTACCGTTAGACTCCAAACGGAAGAATATGAGTGTTAACATTCTACGCCACCGTCACAGGGGTAATGGGAGGGGCGACGGAGGTGCAAAGCGAGAGGAGAGAGTGACGTGTAGTAGCTGCCAGCGGTGGTGGGGACGTCGAAGGTTTGGGGAATTAGAAAGGACCTGGACTCTATTATTTTTGTTTGAAGGTCTCAAGCATAAATTGAAAGTGAGTGATTTTTCTGATTTATTAATACTTTTCCATATATATATATATATATATATATATATATATATATATATATATATATATATATATATATATATATAATATATATATATATATAAAGATTCAAACGAGAACAAAAAAAAGTTTAAGAACCGTAAAAACCTTTAATTTTAGATGTTTATAAAGGGTTTAGGGTTTAGAGGTTAGGGTTAAGGGTTTAGGGTTTAGGGTTTAGGGTGTTTATAAAGGGTTTAGGGTTTAGGGGTTAGGGTTTAGGGTTTAGGGGTTAGGGTTTAAGGTTTAGGGTTACCCTAAAGTTAGATGTGGTTTAGGGTTTAGGGGTTAGGGTTTAGGGTTTAGGGGTTAGGGTTTAAGGTTTAGGGTTACCCTAAAGTTAGATGTTCTTACGGTTCTTAACATTTTTTTGTTCTTATTTGAACCTATATATATATATATATATATATATATATATATATTATATATATATATATATTCTCTTAGATAATTGAGTTTGTGAGGGGAGGTTACTATAAGATTCAAAAAAACTAAAAGCATTTTATATTACAAGAAGAAAAAACATCATGAATGATCCCTGTGGTTTTCCAAAATTTAAAGTAGTCCCCGTGGTTTAAAAACATCATAAATGGTCCCTTTGCTTTCCAAACTTTTGACGATTTGTCGTTATTGCTAACTCCGTTAAGTTTTGTCAATTAATTGAAGGGTATTTTCGTCATTTCACTACCACATGGATCGTTTATGATGTTTTCACTTATTTAAAAAAAAATGAAATAATATGAAAAGAGGGTCCCACCCTCCCCCCCCTCTCTCTCTCTCTCTCTCTCTCTCAACCCCTCTTTTCCCCTTGTTCTTATATCACCACCCACCACCACCGCGTTTCTTATTCTTTGCTGCTGATCGGAGCTAGCCAAACACCATGTGCTACTGTTACTGCTTGTGTGGATCCATTAGACCAGCACTCTCCGACCAATTGTCATCGTTTACTAGCCCTCCCTTTGAGTTCACGTTGGCATAAAACAAACGAGCAAGGCAGTGGAAGTGCCATTGCATGCCCCCCCCCCCCCACCCGCTACCACAGTGAGGACTCCGATCACCACCACCTACTGTCTCTTTCTTTCACTGATCACCGTCAAATGAAAAGAACGACGAGGCAGCGAAGCTGCCCTTGTAGCACCACTGTTGCTACAATAATCTCCATCTCCGTAGCACCTCCTCACACCACTTCTTTCCACCCATCGACCACCATTTCGATAATATAGTAGGTAACGATCACCACCAATCATGTTTCCATATATATATACGGCGAGATTTAAGGCCGATTCAGCGAAACTAATAGACCCAACAATCTATCTTCTCCTCCACCTCCTATAGACCACCGCATGTATGGTTGTATCTATCTCACAAAAGTTTTTAATTCAAGAACCAGGGCATACATCTTTTCTCTGTGAAGAATTAAGACCACCATCTCTATTGAAATCATTCTCTCTTCTCCTACACCATTTCATTGTCTATCATCATAACACCACCATAATCCTTTTCAATATGCAATTTGAGAACATAAGGAAGAAGGGGCTGTGATTTGAATCTGTACAGATGAGAAGAAAAGTGCATAGGAAAAAAAGGCATCTCAGTCTTGATCTTCGAAGGTGAAGGGTGGGTCTAGTTTTCTTGAGGTATACCTGGTGCTTGATTCACACGATTTTAAATATGACAGAGGCATCTATCTTTCTATCCGTTTCTTCATATACTTATGATTATCAATTTTTTGTTCATTGGAATATGCCTACAAAGTGTTTGTTAAAATGCCAAGGAGAGTTTTTAGTTGTTACGATCCATATTTGCCTTAAACCCTTTTTTGTTATTATGTGAAGGTGTTTGGCTAGCTCCGATCAACAACAAAAAGTAAGAAACATGGTGGTGGCGGCTGGTGATATCTCACACACACACATACACACACACACACACACACACACACACACATATATATATATATATATATATATATATATATATATATATATATATATATATATATAGAGAGAGAGAGAGAGAGAGAGAGAGAGAGAGAGAGACCCCTTTGCATATTATTTCATTTTTTTATTTTTTTTAAATAAATGAAAACATCATAAATGGTCACTATGGTAATGAAATTACAAAAATGCCCTTCAGTTAATGGACAAAACTTAATGAAGTTAGCAATAAAGACCAATTGTCAAAAGTTTTGAAAGAACAGAGACCACCTATGATGTTTCTAAACCACGGGGACTAAACTTCAAATTTTGGAAAACCATATGGACCTCTTATAAGAATTTTGCATAAAATATAAGTTTCCAATCTTGTATTTATATTTTTTTCTCTTAAATAATTTAGATCTAAAAATTTTATTCCTTACAATTTTAAAATCAAATTATTAGTCTTTTATAAATTACGATTTTAATCTTTTATTATATTTTAAAATTATTTTTTAGTCTTTGATGTACTTTTTTTTTTTATAGTTTTTGTTATTATTATTTAGTTATCATTTGTGGTATTTTACAAAGCAAGATACATTTTTGGACCTTATTTTTTTCTCTGTTTTCTCAATAAATAATTGTTTGAATCGAAACTTTATTTTTATAATTTTATGTTCATTGTTCCAACACATGGACCTCTAATATTATTTTTATATAAGTATATAACAATCATTTATTAAACTTTTGAAATGTTTAGTGATCTTTGTTAATTAAGATTGCTTTATTTATTTACGATATTTATTATGTTATTATAGTTTCGTATGGAAATAAATATTTGTAAGTGTTTGAATACATTAAAATAAAAAATGTTTATTGATTTAAAAAAAGATTGTAATATTTTTTTTTTCCTTAATAGATTTGAAATTGTTTACTATATTCAATAACCAATTTATCATTTTAACATTAATCTAACCTTAAAAACAAATTGGATTGTAACCTTGGATTTTTGTTTTTCTTAACCAATGACTTACACACCAATTTATGTTTAACCTTATCAATATTGGTCATTTATATGCATAAATACTAAAATAAATTATCAAAATTTTTTGTTTGGTATCCCATACCCGTTATTTTTTTTTTTAATATTTTTTTATAAACCATATTTTAGTATTGCATAAGGTAATTGAGTCTTTCATAAAAAAACATGAGAAGTTTTTTCATTAAGAAATAAATAATAAATTAACAAAATTCACCAAATTTGATTCATCACGGACACATTGATAACCTGTGAATATATGTAAACGAGTAAACTTCATAAATGGTCAATGTGCACTCTAAAAATCCGAGATATGGTGTGTTCGGCTAAATTAGTTGGTAGAGCGTGTAGCTTGTAGCGTTTTGTTAAATACTATATGAAGTAGCATTTTGATTTGAAGTGTTTTGTATAAACTATGCGGTAGAATCTTTTAGTGTCAAACAAGATTTCTGTTCAAAACAGAACGTTTTGTCGAACGCTAGAAGCTAAAAACTTTCAAACGGTCACAAATGCTACATGTCGAACACATCCTCTCTAAGTTCAAAAAAACCTTCTTGATGGTCCATGTAGTTTCTAAACTTTTAACAAACGGTCCTTTTAGGTAACTCCATCAACTTTTGGCTGTTAATAAAATTGCATTTTCATCATTTCACTACCATAGTGATCCTTTATAAAGGTTTGTCTTATTTATAAAAAATAATAAAATATCTCTTTAATATACGAAGGATATCTTTCTCCCCCCCCCCCACCTTTCTCTCTCTCTCTCTCTCTCTCTTCTCTATATATATATATATATATATATATATATATATATATATATATATATATAATAAATATATATATATATATATCTCGGACACCAAGAGTACAATCACCATCTTCATCTTCTTTATCGCACCCTCTCTCCCTTTCTTAATAA